CTTCCTTATAAGAATAAAGTATTGTATGAGTAAGGAAACTGAGGCAGGTGTGAATCGAGGCAGGCAGGAGCCACTGGATCCTGGCAAGATCCAGACTCATTCATCCTGTGTAATCCCACATCACACAGATGGAATTCATGGTTTCCCCATTGAGAAATTTTTTTGAATAGTTTGCTGACCGTTGTGAGAGAAGGTGAGATTCTTGTTCCCTCGTGGGAATTTTGGGCTCCCAAGTGGAAAGCAAGCAGGTGAAAGAAACCAGATGCCATTTTTCATGTTCGCCTTGGATTCATTCTGTAGCTGGCAAGCACTTCCTCCTCCACAGCAGCAGAGACTTTTTTTTCACAAGGAAAATAAACTGGTTTGATGACTTGAACAAACCTCTGTACTTCTAAAACTCTTGTCTCTGTAACCTTTTAACTAGATGAGACAGTGCCTCATGAGGCAAAACTTTTTTGAACCAAATGGACCGTTTTACAGAATGCATCCAAAATCCACGACCTGCGATTTCTGTGGAACTGAAATTTGGCAAATTTCATCAAACATTTTATGACAAACAAAATGTCATAAAACATTTCTGGTGGTCAGTTCCTGATGTTTCACTATACAGTGGCGATCCACACCCTTCACAGCTTGGAGGCCCGGTGGGGGTGGGGTGGGGAACCAGCCCATGCATGCAGCAGGCCATCGTGCACACGCGCACGTGCGTTCTGGCCTGCCACTTGCACAAGTCGAGTTGTGCACATGCCCGCATGCGCCAGCCCACCACTCACGTGGCCTGGTTCCAGACGGGCCATAGCTTTGTAGTGGGCCACGGCCCAGGAGTTGGGGACCCCTGCTATACAGTTCAACATGGGCTACTTTCAAGGCAGATACATCTCCGAATATTTCCCTGAATTTTTTAAAAGGACTTTTCAGGTACATTCAAGTACATAGGTTCTGCCATGGTTAAAGACGCTTAAGAAATCTGGTAAGGAAATATCTCTAAAATGGTTGTCTAGTTAGAATGATAACTCTTTTTTTTTCCCCCTTCCCCTTTAGGAAAACGCCCCAAGAAGGGCTTAGCGACAGCAAAGCAGCGACTGGGACGCATCCTCAAGATCCATCGCAATGGCAAGCTACTCCTCTGAGTGCCATCCCCCAGGTCAGCTCCAGACCACATGCCCAGCTCTTGGGCAGCAGAAGTTGGGTGAGGCACAGAGACCCACTTGGAGGCACCGCTTGGTGTCTTTGGAGGGCTGACAGGACCTTGGGCGTGTGGGCAAGGCCTGCGCTACTCTACCTCTCCTTCCCTCACATGGATCAGAGCCAAGTCTGAGCTGCCTGTGCTGCTGTTGGAAGCTTTGAACTCGATTGGCAGCACCTCAACACAGAGGCGAACCACACTGGTTTTCCTGAAAAGACAGACAACATAGGAGGCGGGGGGTTCGTTGTGCCCACTGATTCTCCATCCCTACCTCGACCCACTGCATTTCCTTTTTTTGTTCTGGGGCTGATACCTCTTTTGAATGCTCCCTTCCTTCTGTCAAGTCACACCTTACAGATGTTGGCTTTATCTTTTCCTCCTAGCAGCTTCAAATGCCCTTTGTATCTTTCGTTGCTGTTGGCAGACCCTGGCATGCCAAGGAGTGTTCCTTTTTTCTTTCTTTTTTTCATTACTTTTTTAAAAATGTTTTTCCCGGCAGAAAGTAGCTACTTGCTTTGTTTTTTTTACACAAGCAGATGGTTCCTTTGCAGAACAGCATTTCTCAACGTCAATGATTCTGAGATGAATGGACTTCAACTTCCAGAATTCTCCAGCTGGCACTACTTTTGGCCGGGAAATTCTTGAAGTTCACCCATCTTTAAATTGCTCCGCTTGAGATACGCTGGTTCTGGAGAGATCCTTCCAAAGCCTGGAAGGGCAAGAGAGGAACCACTCGTTTTACAAAGGGAACTGGATGCTTCCCTGTTTTTCAGCAGTCAGGGATTTGTGGATGGAGTAGGCAGACACTGGAAATAACTCCCTCTCCGTCGAGAGAATTTTGAAACTTCCAGTCATTTGGCAGCAGGGAATCATTCGTTCATCATACCTTACGTTATCCATCCAAAATAGAAAGACTGAGAGCTTCACGAGAGAACTGTTTCTGCAGAATGCAAAAGGGAGGGGCGGTGTGATGCAAATTGTAAAAAATTTGCAGCATGTACAAGAAGGCAGTTGAGGTAGAAGGCTAAATAAGCTGCCTCCTCTCTGGTTTGCATATCTGTACATGCAAAGGGACTTCTGTTGCTTTGAGTGTTTGTATTTTAAATTGGTGAAAATCCCAGCTCTCCCCAGTCAGTTGTTGGAAACTGTTCACTTGCCAGATGGGGCTGCCAACCAGGAGATTCCATGTGGAATATTAGCAGATTCTTCCTGCTCCAGATGTGAAGTTTTCCAGTAGGTTTCACAGCTGTTCCTGTTGCAGATCTCTCGTTTTTGTTAATTTCAGGGCTTGTTTTTTTTTACATTCTTGGCATAAAGCAGTCTGTCCTCCCTTCTCCTTCACCTTCTCCTTCTCCCCCTTCTATGGCGGCAGGGAGGGCGTCATGCCCCCTAAGTAAGACTTAAAAGATGTTTCTACCCAGCAGCACAGCTCAGTTAATACAGCTGTGTATCATATTTTTACACCAGACTCCAGCAAGCTTTGTGTAAATGTTTGAATTCTATTTTTTAGGCCTCGCTCTAGAAATGTGTGTTTAAGGGGGAGAAAATTATATATATATAATTTATATATAATTATATAACATTAGATATATATAATTTTTTCCAGGGGTTAGAATAAAAGAAAACCTTTCAGTTTATTGTGGCATATGCCTGAGATATATTTTTTCTGATTCTGTTCCTCTCGGAACAAATGCTTTCACTGGGATCTGGGAGAACTTGCCCACAAAAATTTGTGTTTTGGAGAGTCTGATACCAAACTACAGATATAGCAGTTTCTTGCACAAGAGTTAGTACAGGGGGTGCAGCACCCTGACCAAGGCATACATTCTCCACATAGTTTTTAAGGGTGGGGGCATTATTATGCACAGCTTTTGGTTTTAAAGACAGCCGTGCTAAAAGGATTCATCACTGGGGGAATTATTTCAGGAATGCTATCCAAACCTTTGGGGGGGGGGGCAGTTTTTTGCCAATTGGAAAATAAAAGGTGATCTAAATTGCTATATCATCAAATAACCAAATTGAATATTCAACCCATTTAATTATTTTATATACGGGCATTCCTTGGTACTGTTCATGAAGTGTGTCTCACACAGATCTCACGTGGAGTTTCTCCCGGCAATGTGTCCCAAGCCACCTTTTATTCAGAATTGGCATTAGTAATGGTCGGTTGATTTTGGGGGGGCACAAAATTAATACCCCAAAGTTATTTTATCAAGCGAAACTGAAAGGCTCGTTCTCCCAGCTAAGGGTGATTGCCTTTTTTCCTTTTTCCTTAAATTACTCTCCTATATTTGCTTCAGCTGCAGGTTTACAATAATATCTCGGGCAGCGATTTTTGTTTTTATTGTAAGAATTGTAAAATACACATTAACACACGAAAAGAGAGTCTGATCCCGCAGTAATTACAAGGATAATAAATCTTGGGTGCTGCAGGGCCCCAGGGACTTGGGGAGGGGGTTGAAGGAATGGCTCTCGGCTGCAAAACTGAGGGGGTTTTCTTACTGCAGACAAGCAAAACAGGTAAAAGAAATATACATATAACGCAGGAGCATCATGAAGAACTTCATCCAACCTTCTGCAAGGAGAAATAATTAGCGAGCCAAAGGTTTTCGCCTGTCATCTCTCAGCTATAATGTTAAGATTTTTGCTGTATGGATTACAAGGGCTGATGGAAGGAAAAAAACCTGGACAGAGGCTAGATTCACATCGGTCAGATTATTGCTGTGATTTACTGGATTCTGCCACTCAGCTTGCCACATGCTTTGACTATATACTTCTGCTAAGACCTTTCAGTGCAAAAACGTTTGACAGGTGCATTACGGTAGTAGCTTTTATTCCCTTCTTTTTCAAAAAAAAACAACCAGTCGCTTTCCCTGCATAGGACACTAAGTGAACAATTTGAGTTTCCTTGTTGATGCGGGATTTCTGGGAGGAGAAATTGGGAAAGACTTCCAAGTCGCATAAAGGAACAGGATGCAGCGAATCCAGCTGCCATCCTACCCATTTCTACTTTTAGTCTCCAGAAGGTAAATTTCTTTTTGGCTACATGGGGTCTGGTTAAATCTACAAATGAAACAATGGGGGCCCCTCTGAAATGATAAAAAGCAACCCACCCACCACTTTTCCTCTAGCCAACTGACCAAGCTGGTAAATTTTTCTCTATTGGTGATGGAAGTATTTTGAATAGGTTGCTCTTCCCAGCTGCTCCCCAGGATGTTTCATGTTCAGAAAAACCTGCCACAAGGAAGACGAGTGCTCATACTTCATACTATTGTTCACCTGTCCAAAGCCAAAACACTCCAAAGGAAAAGGCTCATTTGGCATAAACTGGACTGTTGAATAACTAAAACATGCCCAGAAGATATTAAGCCAGGTTAAAAAAATGGCTCTCAAACTGCTCAATGCCTCGTAGCATCTGTATTTTCCTGCTGTTGGAAGAAATTTGCAGGGCTGCTATTTTTTCCTTTAGTTGAGCCAGCAAGTTGGATGCCTAAGTCATTTCCCTTCTGTTGTACCTTTGAACAGCAGTTTGTCTCACAGGTTTGGTCAATTTGATTTGAGCTGAAATACTGCAGTGTGGTGGCACTGTGGTTGGTATATTGATTGAAAAGGGGACATCGGTCTTGCCTTTAGGGTTTTCATCATGGAGCGTAGCTAGACAAGGACAGTATGGAGGGGTCGGAGTGGATCTCACACAATTCTCAGCCCAGCATTTGAGGCCCACAGAAAGCCTCATCCTTTCTTTGTTCTTAACAATTCCAATTAAGGCTGTGAACTTTAGGAGGGAAATATGTTGTGCTAATTCCGAAAAGCCAGGTCTCTTGACCTTTCAGAGAGAAAAGAAGGAACAAGCGCATTCAAGATCCCTCCATCTGCTGCCCAGAAGACATATTTGCAGTTAAGCACAATGTCCTTTTCTGCGTTATATCAGCACAGTACAGCATGGGGATAGATTGGGCCTACAACATAGTGAGAAATTGGTCTCTCTTTGATTATAGTGCGATATCTCTTCCATTTCCAAGGACCTACTGCAAAGGTCCAGAAGAAGATCTTGGATTTCTCCCTTTCTTCCCATCATGGGTGACCAAAATGGTGAAGGAGGAACAGGAAAAATGGTCCTGTATTCTGGTAGCCTGCTGGTCCAGCTTTTCTAGACAAAGAATGGAAGGAGGGGGGGCAGCTCATATTTCCAATAGGTTGGAGGCAAGGTAGGAGCTGTAGGAAGCTCCCAGTAACTCTTCCACATCCTTGCGCTTCACCAGCCAGCACTTGGCTTCATGAGCCCTCTGGACTGAATCCTTTAGCACCTTGGAGACTTCAGTGAGAAGTACTTTGTTTGCACCGCTTTGCATCCAGGCAACTTTGCCCCCATGAGATGGATCTGGGGAAAGGCTGATGTCGCTATTCTGGAACTGGCCTGGGAAAGAGAAAATAGGCATTGCAAAAACTACTTCTCTATCTATATTAACAAAGGAGTTGCTGGTCATTTATCTCTTATTTTTACCTTCTAAGACACTGGAGATCTCGATATTTATTAAGACTACAGTACCCAGAGTTCCCAGTCAGCATGTCATTGTAGTTATGGATATCATCAGTGAGTTGCCAGCTCTCACAGGAAATGGACTGTATTTTTAATATGTAGGACCAGCTGGCATATTGGGTTTTTTTTTTAGAATTACTTCTTTGATTCTTAAGAATACATTACATTTACAGTACTCTGGAAAGTAGCAAGGAGGGAACTCAGGGCAGAACATAAATAGATGAAGGCTTGGAACTAGAACACGTGATAGTCACCCTCCTCATAAAACAGCTTACCTAGCAAGCCGCCTGATGATGCTGACAGGCCTTGGCCCTTCATAATATAGAAGCCAAGATGATCCAACTGCAGGACCGTGGGATGACTATAGTGATGCAGCAGAACAAGAAATTCAATCGTAGACCCAATCTGGACAGTGATGTTGGCCTCAGGCCATATGGAGATTGCCAGAGGGGGCTTACTGATTGTGGCCTGCTGAATTAAGGGCAAGACCAGCACTTCCTCGCCATATAGTGTCACGCCTTTCTGGGTTATATTAACCACATAGCTGGCATGTGGGCGCTCCACTACTATGGTGATGACATCCAAATAGGTACGGGGACGTTCTTCGTGGCCTGGCCTTGAAGGGGCTCCCATTAGGTGTCCATTAACAGACAAACCTGAAGGCAAAGAAAGGCAACCGTCAGATTCTTCCTTTCCCCCTTGGCCCCTCAACAAAATGGAGGCAGAAGATCCACTGTTGCTGTTCTTCCACCCACTCTGCTGAAAAATCCTCTCTGCCTCTCCTGTCTCAAAAACCACCTCTTTCCCCCATAGGTGCCTTCAACCCAACTGCCATTATTTAACTCTTCCTATCATTAGAAATATTTAAAGCTGCTTCATTTTAGAGAGGAAGAATGCTCAGAAACACCTGGTTGTTTAAAATGGAAGTTTTCCTGACAGAACAATTAATCTGTGGAAAAACTTGCCTCCAGATGTTGTGGCACGCCAACAATGGAGGTTTTTAAGGAGATTGGACAACCATTTATCTGAAATGTTATAGAGTTTCCTACTTTAGCAGGGGGTTGGACCAGAAGACCTCCAAGGTCCCTTCCAACTCTGTTGGTCTGTTATTTTGTTCTGTTATTCTGATACTTTTCACACTAGTTTCGTTGTTTGACTTGGGGAATAACATTTTTGCATATTATCCCAAGCACCAGACCAAAACAAGCTTATGGTCTCCCACCTGTCTTCACCTTTAGCCCCCAGGAGCTGCCCGGGGCAGGTTCTAATCACAGCTCTTACCCGTGGCAGGGTCGCTCACCAGCCGCAGGATATCTCCTAAGCGTCCATCCAAGGTGAAGCACAGATTCCCCAGTGAACGTGGCAACTTTATTACAAAGTGAGGGTCTCCATCCACTGCAAGGAAGAAGCAAAGGGTGTCCATTAACAAGACATTTTTAAAACATGGGGGTCCTGTGAATTCTTCATAGCTAGGAATGGGTTGTTACCCCAAGAGGAGAAAGTGAAGAGGCCAGACTTGGGTGACGCTCCCAGGGAGTCTGAAAAGAGAGAAAGATGAAATCCACTGCGCGTTAGAGAAATATTTCAGTTTAAGTGTACACCAAGTCTCATTCCATTACCCAGCAATCAATCTTAATTCAGTCTCAATTTTCAGTCTCTTCTAGTTCCAATTTGCTGTATCTTTTGAAAAGTTATCCAGTGGTTTTGACATGAACCAGGGAGAGGGACACATATGCCCCCACACACAAAATAATAATAACAGAACAACAGTTGGAAGGAACCTTGGAGGTCATCTAGCCCAACCACCTGCTCAAGCAGGAGACCCTATACCCGTGATGGCGAACCTATGGTACGGGTGCTACAGGTGGCATGCAGAACCATTTGTGCCAACACGCGAGCTGCAGGCACTTACTGTGCATGCGTGCGCCTCACAGCTGAAATAGGCCCATTTCGTCATTTCTGGTATTTCCGGAAATATCAGAAGTGACGAAATGGGCCTATTTTTTGGCCTGCAAAGGCTTTCCTCAAGCCTCTGGGAGGCCGAAAAAGGCTTCAAAGGGGCTGAAAATCAACTGGGAGGTGCTGTGCAGGTAAGAGGGCAGTGGCGAGGGAGTTGCGTGTGCATGCTCAGGAGGCGTGGGGGGCACGGACGTTGCCTTCTGGGTGCTGGCACGCGAGTGCACGAGCACAAGCACGCACACAATTTTTGGCACAGGAGCCCAAAAAGATTAGCCATCACTGCCCTATACCATTTCAGACAAATCTCTTCTTAAAAACCTCCAGTGTTGAAGCACCTGCAATTTCCAGAGGCAGGTCGTTCCACCGATTATGCACTAATATGCACTGACTGACTGACTGATTTATAGGGTGAGCCATTTCATTGTTTTCCCCGCTGGCGTAACATGTTGGAAAGAAATTATATAAAGGGATTCAAGACCATGGCCCATCAGCAGGATAGCTTTCTGAGAACTGGACAGAATGGGATCAAAATTGCTTCAATTATCAACTTCAAAACTGAGTTGGATCTGGCTGAGGACTGACCGCACGCCCCCCTCCCAAAAAAAGAAATCAGGAAATTTTTCTCCAGTGCATCCCTGTGGGAGAAAAGGTGGACAGTGCATTGGAATGAGGCTGACTGGTCTATTCGAAGCCCCCTCCTCCTGATCATGTGACTCAGATCAGAACATATATTCAGCTTCCCAGCACAGACACCCAGACGAGCACGTTGAGGAAAGAAATGAAAATGCATCACTCCAGGTAATGGAGAGAGGAAATACTCTGGAAGCCATGCTCTGCATCTGTTCCCATCCTTCATGCTTCTAAAAGCGCAAACCTTCAATTCACCCCCTGGGGAATTGTTTGAAATGGGCTAATTGTCCAGGAAATTACCTGATTCACTGTCCGATTCTTCAAAAAAATCTGCAAAAAAAAGAGAGAGTTAATTTTCAGAGTATCCTCATACTCACAACGCTCTCTCAGAAGCCACCCGAGACTGCTCCCCATCGTCCAACCCCTACTTCATGGCAGATATTTGAGCCATTTAACGAGAGTCATTGACACGTAGGTAGTGCTTACTTTTTCAAAGTGTTCTTCAAAAGACACCAACTCTCATTGGCCAGACCCCATATCCTATCTGCTCTGAAGGAACGTTAAGCTTTATTCTGTTTGAAGAATTAGCAAAGTATGCCTCGTTTTCACTTTATCGTGAGCAACTTTAGAGTTTTGTAGCAATAGTTGCTAGCAAAGAAAACTTGCATCCCCTTCAACATATACAACTACAGTACCGTCCATCTCAATTCCATTCCATATTTACTTTTTTAACTGCAAAACCTTAAGAGTGACCAGGGTTGCCAGTATACCTAGTCTCCCATCTTCAATGGCTTTATAAAAAGGACACCCAGTTTCTCTTTTCCAAAACCTAACTAAAAAGAGGAGACCCTCCTGACTTTATGGACTGGGTGCAAATTGTGAGTCAGGTACATGTGGACTTAATCAGTGGTGGGATTCAACTGGTGTTACTATCGCTTCAGTGACTACGTGCGCGCAGAAACAGTTTGGTGTCTGCTGCTCTTCAGAGAAAGAATGGGAGGATCATTCAGGCCCGTCCACCTTGAAAGCAGAAGGTGTGAAGGTAAGACAGGGCTTTGAAAGAAAGGGAATATCTTTAAACCTGGCTGCCCAGAATTTGGCACTCCAGGTGTTGATAATGTCATCAGATGGTAGTCCTGGCCAGGTTGAGAAAGGTTTCTGGCAGTTGTGACTGAACAGAAATTGGGTGAGGAGAATCCAGGCCTTTTGTAAATTCAATTTCTAACTTCTGCTCTCTTAAGAAGGACAAACAGTTTATGCCTGGTGTAAAAATATAGAGATGAATTTCTATTCCACACTGCAAGAATTTTAACACTTCCACGCCTACGTATAGATCAGTATATGTATATTTTATGCAAATCCATGTCCTCATTTGTCCTTTGTTTTTCAGCCATTTGTTTTTGTTCTTTTGTGCAACGTGTGTTTGATTAATGAGTCCCTGAACAATCAGGCATCCCACCCCTTAAGAATATTGAATGATCAGTGATGGTTCTCTTTGTTAAAGAAAACTCATTTTCTGGATGTGGGTCCTTGTGTACCTAAATTGGCTTCACATACACACGTGGTTGGGGTCAGTAGACTCAGGGGAGCCCTAGAGGCTGTAAAAATAAAGTCTTTGGGAAAGGAGAAGAAAACCTTCTGAGGAGAAGACACAATACATTATCATACAGTTAAGAATGTGGCCGGAACTAGGACTGTAGTGCACTTCTAATCATTTTATGACTAATCAGTGCCATGAAGGAAATGAAAAACCACAGGAGAAAGGAATAGAACCAGTCAGAAATCTGAACTGGAACACATTCCGTACATTGCAACATATATGTGGTTTAATATGGGCTTAATAAATAAATGTGCTCTCCAAGATGAACATCTGGGAAGATCTTTAAAGATAGGAAATACAATGAGCTCACTAGGCCCTGTCCCCCAAAGTCAGTCTCTGTGATGGAAGAATTACCTGGATAGTCTCCATAATCCAAGTTTTCTGAGGAGAGAAATAAGAATTGAACACATAAATAACACAACATCCAGTCACCAAAGAGGATCTAGAGCAATTCCAGAGTGTTACATGCATGGCTGGGGTCATAAAATACACAGATTAATGGGAAGAGAGGGGAGGCGGCAGTTGATCTTGGGAATAAGGAGGCAAGGCTGGAGTACCACAACAGGAGTAAAAGGGGGCATGAATTAGGCTCCCCCACATGGCTAGCAGAACTGCGTTGTGGTCCGCCAGCAGCCTGCAGAGCTGGCAGCAGAGTCGGACAGTGGGGAGGAACATGGGCCAGTTCTGGAGTCTGGGGAGGGTTCAGTCGAGGGATCTGCATCTGACATAGAGATGGGGCCAGGGCCATCTGAGAGTTATGTGCTGACTCTGGAGCCTCCAGAATCTGACATCAGCGAGGCAGAGGAACAGGGGGAGCCTGTTCCCAGTGCGCACTTGCACAGAGCTGTCAGAAGGCAAGAACAGTTAAGAAAAAAGGAGTGACTCGGGAGTAAGGCTTGGAGATGATTAGCCCCTCCCATAAGACATAAAGGAGGAGCAAAGGGACAGGAGCCTTTGCAGGAAGCAACTTTGTTTGTACTGGTCGGTTTAAACTCTGAAGCTCCGTGTTGACTTCGTGCTCCGTTTGGCCTTGTACAGCTAATTGGCAATTTAGTCATTGGCAGCATTTCAAGGGAGATAAAGGTGGGTGCTTATCAGCCTTATCCCAAAAAAGACTGTGGCAGACTTCTGTTGGACTATTCACAAACTGTTTGGGATTCATTATGGGCTGTGAATGCATATAATTCAGCCGTTGAAATAAAAAGAGGGTTTTGGGGACTATGCGTGTGATTGTTATTGTCTCAGGAAGCCTTGGTCAGAACAAACTGGAGATTCATCAAACCAAGATGAGTTCTTCATCTGCTAGGCACAATTCATCCTTATTGCAGTTCTCTCATCGCTTGGGAGATCAGCAGCAGCAGCTGGACTAAAAACCCATGCAGCTAAACCACTCTTTCCAGATGTAAATGACGAGAGAGGAGGGCATGTATGTGGCCCAGGAGAAAAAGGCTCCAAACCCCAGCACTGTCCCGGGTTCCTTGCACTTACCTCCAAGTCTGTTGGGTATCAAAATGCTATATACAGCTGGGGGATTCAAGGACTCCACATATTCTGTGTTCTGGATGGTGGTTGAGGGTAATTCAGACTCCCCAGGCAGCAGGAGGAGGCTGATGTCAGAAGCAGAGGTGGAGGTGTCAGGAACCGGACCGACTCCCTCTAATTCTGCTGCCTGAGTGGTGAGAGATGTGGCCCAAGAGACTGTGCTCTTCTCCTGGGGCCTATCAATGTGCAACTTTGAGGTTACCCCGTCCTTTGTATCTGTCCTGCTCCTGGGGAATTTCCCTGTCTCCATCCTGGAAGTACTCGCTTGCCATTTGGTATATGAATGGTGCTCAGTGACTGGCCATGGGGTCCCCTTGGGCTGTTCCCAATGACTGGAGTTGCTCTCTAGAATCTTTGGGCTAGTAGAAGGATACAAAGTTAGTGCCCTGGCCACAGTGTGGGGGACCCTGGCCATAACCTTAGTCACGGCTGTTCCTCTGGTCTCCAGTGCAGGGTGTGGCTGAACAGTGGGTTTGAGTCTTGCTGCTCTGGTGGGAGTGAACTTGGGGAGGGTTACAGGTGACCTGGTTGACTTAAGAGTGGCGGTAGCTCTTGGGGGTTTAGTAGATCTATGGCTTACAGCGGGAGTCCAAGAGGTGGCCGTTCTCCCCAGAATCGTTGTGACTTTGGCTGATTTGGGGTGGCCGGTGGCAGTAGGTGCTATCGTGGGATAGACAGATGGAGTGGTGAAGGTGGACATAGTGGTAACTGGGGAAGATGTGGCTCTGGCTGCTTTCAAGAGCCTAGGTGCTGTCACTGGAACAGCTCCTGTCCCCATCATTTCCTTGAAAGCTTTTGTTATTGCAGGGGCATCAGTAACTCCAGGAACAGGTTTAGCTGCCTTAGAAAGTCTTGGCAAAACAGATACCGCCAATGCTCGAGGAGAGGCTTTTAGGGCTCTAGTCACCCCAGGAGGAATTGTGGTTTTCACAGGCTGGTTTCTATTTCTGGCTTCTTCTGGCCTCACCACTACCAAGGAGGTGACAGGGGTGACAAAGTTGTATTTGATTGACAAATTGGTAGCTTTCTCTGTCAGGAGACGCCGGGCAGCTGTGTCATTGGCTCGGAACCGGGCTTGTAGCAGATCTTGGATGGTGAAGTAGGCCCAGAGCCTTTGTACAAAGTGACCGATCTTGTTGATCTCAGCAAGGCATCCAAATGGAACGGCTTTAGTGGTATTGGTTGAAATGTCATTGTCCAGGTTCAAAGGGCCTTCCTGGCCTTGCCCCGTGGTGCGCACCTGCAGTTTTGATGCTCCTGGCTTCACACGGCCAACCACAACAAGCTCAGAACCCTGGAAATAGTTGGGGAAGAGGTTCTGGGTGAGGCCTTCTGCAACCCCATCAAGGTAGGACAGCTCCACATCATACAGCAGAGGGCTGGCAATTTCATCATAGAAGCCCTTGAGCTGCAGAGTAGCATCAGCATCCTCATAGATGCGCCGGGCCACCCCACGATTCTCTAGCGAGAGTCGTCTCAGCAGCCCATAATCAGCATCATCTCCAAAGGCAAGGCCAAAGAGTGAGATGGTGCCCTTAAGAGCCCGCTGAGCGTTGGTCAGAATGCGACTGCCGGCTGTTACTCCCGAAGTGGCTTCACCGTCGGTCAAGAAGATGATCAGTGGGATCCTTGGCTCCTTCTCCACCTTTCCATCCATTGAAGAACTTTGGTTGAAGAGGGAGGCAGCTGCAAGCAAGGCTGCGTTGATGTCAGTCCCTAAGAGTCGGAAAATGAGAGACTCAGAAACAAAGACACCTCCGCAGGGGTGGGATTCGACCGAGGTAACTGACTACCGGTTCGGTGATTTACAATTTGCGCTACGCGCGCGCCTGTAAATCGTCATCAGCTTGCTGCCTGGACAGCTGAGCAGCGCTGCGTGCGGGTGTGCAGCGGTTGACAAAGCCTCTTTTTTATTGCTTTTTCAACTGCATCTGTGCCACGCAAAGCAGCTGAGGTTGAAAAAGCAGGAAATAAAGGTCAGGTAAGAGCCTGGGTGTGCAGGTGGGCCAAAACAGCAGCAGACACAGAATCGGTTCTGTTTCTGCTGCTCTTCAGAGCTACCGGTTCTACATAGCTGGACAGGACCGGTAGAATCCCACTCCTGCACCTCCGAAGTTTTGGCCATTTCAGGATGGGAGCTTACTCCGTTTCTTCAGATACTTTTGAACTGCCACTGTTAGGCAGTCTCTCATTGATGGCTGATAGGCCTAGCCTACAGCAATATTAGCAACATCTAGACACATATATGTCTCTAGACATATACGTCTCTCCCCTGCCCTCCCCCCCATAATCTCCCTAGACTAAATCCATGGATTGACCCAGGTAAGCTATAAACAGAAGTTTGTCGGTCTGATCTTCTAGGAGAACAATCAAACTTTAAAAACTTTAGCAACAACCTTTAATGATGGATTCAAGGTTGTAAAAAGTTGATAATTTTTCCATATGAACGAATGGCTCTTCTTGGAATTATTTTTAGGGTGCCTTCTATGTCTTTCAAGAACAGATTGGACTGCCATTTGTCAGAAATGGTGTAAGGTCTCTTGCTTGGGCGGGGGGTTGGACTAGATGACCTACAAGGTCCCTTCCAACTCTGTTAATCTAATCTAATCTAATCTCTCCTGCCCTGTCTCTCACAATTCTCCAGGCCAACACTTACATCCATCTGCTTCCATTTTGCTGGCATAATCTTTGGCCTTCCGGATATTTTGAGAGGTGGCTTGGATGGATTGACTTGGCTTCCACACATTCACGGTGTCAGAAAAAGTAACAATGTTGAAATGGTCATCTTGGTGAAGATCACTTAGTATGACGTGCATAGCTTTCTTGATCTGTAAAATCAAGAAAAAAAATAGAGGTGGGAGTTGGATGACCTTATTAGCAGAAATCTGTCCTTTGAATCAGCACAGCACAGCAATCTAGGGATGGAAGGGACCTTGGTGGCCATCTAGTCCAACCCCCTGCTCCGAATCAGATCAATTGATGCCCAATATTGGTATTGAGCAAACTGAAATGTGCATTCTCAACTCATTTTTAATTTAGGTGTTTACAAATGAAATGATATTATTCCAATGAATGTAAAATAACGTAGTTATCTAAGCTTCCTGAGTATATTCTTTGTCAAAACTGAGTCCTGAGTCCTAGATTGTGGATGACGGACAAATGTGTTGCATTGTAAAGTAGGTTCTAGATTAGAAATTAGATTTTGCATAAAATGACATGAGCACCCTTGGATTCAGATTGCATTTATCAGAAACCAGAAGAAATCTGATAGTGCTTTCCTGATTAACAAATATTATTTAAAAAATATAAGCTTTTGTTACCTGCAATTTACTTCATCTGACTGATATGTTCTTCGTTCTTTCTTCATTTCAGCAGAAAGGCTGAAAGTAGTATTCTGCTAACTTAGTTTCTATACTTTCTCTTCAATGACCTATTTCATTTCATGTTTCTACCAAGAATCCCTTTTCATACTTCCACCCACTTCTGTGACACCTGGATTGCACTTGTTCAGCATGTTACTTAATCAATCATTCTTCCATTGTCACCGTTTATTGGAGCTTAAATACAATATATTATAATAACCCATATCCACCCATCAACCCATATCCATAACAAGCTAAATGATGGTAATTTATACTTTCTGACATACATTTTAGTATTTTATTAAATTAAACTTCCACCTCCCTAAATGCATGCATCTACCTGCCCTTCCTTGATGCTCTCTGAACTTGCTTGGTTTTTTTTGCTGATGTTTCATTAAGGACTAGCGCTGATGTTACCTAGTTTGGTTAATGAAACATCTGCAAGAAAACAAACAAGCTCAGAGAGCATCAAAGAAGTGCAGGTAGATGCATACATTTAGGGAGGTGGAAGTTTAATTTAATAAAGACTAAAATATATGTCAGAAAGTATAAATTACCATCACTTAGGTTGTTGTTATAGGTATGGGACCCCTCATTTCAAATATTCTCCTTTATCTACCTGCCCATCATAAGATCAGACTACTTTCATCCAGATCCTTTCTCTTGCTCCTAGATTTACAAACATATAATATATCTAGTTTTCTTTCTTTTTTTATTTGTTAATTCATTTTCTTCACTCCTCTTACATATCAAGTTACAATCTTCCCCACACCATGGGCATCGCCATTCGAGTTTGATTGGTCACTGAACAACCACTTGTAACTCGAGGACGACCCCTTGTATCTACCCCTTCTTTCTTAATTCTCTCTCTATTGTCTCCCCATCCGTCATTTGCCAGCCCCTTCTGCAACTTGAGGCTGCTCACCTGTTTCAGCTTGGTGCCGTACATGGAACCACTGATGTCAATAACAAAGACCACATCCTTCTGCAAAAGGGGCATCCCCCTCGGGGCAAAGTAGTGAGCAAAGTAGCCATTGTAGATCTGAGAGAGAGAGAGAGAAAGGAACCAAAGTGTAGAAGTGAAGGGGAAGATGTTGTCCTTGCTGGTGGGGTGGCAATGGACAGGACAGGCAGGAATTTGCTGAAGCAAGGGAACATCTTTGGCCAATAAATTAGGCCAAGTTGAGTCCTCCTGATGCATTGGAGGTTAGAGGCATTAGAGATGGATGCCATGACTGGAAAAACTGATTTAAAGGATCATAATTTTTGTCAATCCACATTTGTCTGTAAATTTATACAGCTCAAAGCAAAACATCCAGGGGTGGGCTGCTGGGGGTTCGCAGGGGTTCGGGAGAGCCCCTAGCTAAGGTTCTGTTCAGTTTGGAGAACCCCCAAATCCCACTCCTGACTGGAAGGCCTCCCCGGGCTTGAGGAAAGCCTCCGGAGCCCAGGTAGGGCAAACACACACATCCCGTCGTGGTGCAGGAGGCCGACTAGGCCACGCCTACCAAGGCCATGCCCACCCAGCAACCAGGCAGAGAACCCTTTGCTAAAAAATTTTTTACATCCATTTCTATCTTATATGTCTCTCTGTTCAGTTGTTATTCATTTATTTGTCTGGCCTTTCTCATGCACACAGAAACCTTTGGTTCTCTTTAGTGTATCTTCAACATTGTTCTCAGTTCTCTATATGCAACAACTAAAATGTAGATTTCTTTATATTTAGTTTGGTATTAACTCTGATTATTGCACTCTGAATGTCCACAACTGCAGATGTGCACTTATACATATACAGCTATAGACTTTGGCATCCAGTAGAGCCTTTCGAGAATGTAATATTTGAGGAAAAAAGAAGATTAAAACCAGGTTTCTAATCCTTACAGCTAACTCGTTTGATCCTTCCTCTGCCTCTCTTTTGATTGTGCCAAAAAGAAATCACAGCACCAATATCCAGTGATTTTTGTTGCCAGAGTTCAGTGGTTTGTTGTTGGTGAGTTTGATGTTGGTGAGTATCAAAAAGTTTTTTTCAAACTTTTTGGAAAAAAGTTTCAAAGTCTACATACAGCTCTCAGGTTCTCCATCCAGATTTATGTATATAGAGATGACATATTTGACTAATTTCTACAGGTTGCAGGTTTCCTCTTTTATTGGAAAATAACTTTATTCTGCCTACCTCTGAGCTTCCAGAGATATTTGATTCTGGAACATTGACTAAATGGATGCAGAGTTTGCTCCAGTGGGACAGTTCTTATGTTCCCACACTACTCTTCTTGCATTGCTCTATGTCATCCTATCTTGCTTCCACTTTTTAAGATAATCTTGATATCCAGAGCGTTCCTTTTATTTGTATTTATTTTATAATGATCTAACTTTCCATTTATTATATGCTTGTGTAGTCTTTCCCCTAACCTGTACATCTCCTGAAGCATCTGGCATGGCCACATCATACTGCACCACAAAATCACCCACGATTCCTGAGCTGGAGAAGGATTCCTGTTCTTGGAGGGTTGGGGTGAAGACAATCCAAGCGCAGTGCCGTCCTTTCTCCACTCGAGTTGATGGTGGCATATCGGCTTCACCTGAGAAGACAGCACAGCAGATTTTTCACTGGGTTCTCAGGGTTGCCTCAGACATGCCGGAATTCATTGATGTAGAGGTGACTTGGCCAGCCTTGATTTCATTTCACTTCAAGGCTTTTCACTCAAGTCACTAAATTAAAACCTTCTGCAGCTACTCACTAAATCAAGAGAGAAGTCAATCAAGACACGAGCATGTGTGGATGATTCCCCAAGTCTTGCAATGGGTAAGGCAGCAGCCAGGATTACAGACCCCACCACCCCTTCTCATGACCACTTGAGCAGAACGTAGACTCTCAGGGATGCCTGTCTACTTCCTGAGATCTTTCCAAATGTGGAGATGAGGAAGTAAAAGTTTAAGCAACGCAGATGAGGTTCAAATGTTGTAACTAAAGTGAATGCTGCAGTTATTATAAATGAGGTTAGGAAGGTTTGCAAGTTAGTAGGTAGTCAAATCTTTATCTAAACCTGGCTAGGCATCCATAAAAGGAAAGATTGAGCCACAGCAGAGTCATTGAAAGTGAGACATTAAGCTAAGAGAGTGCTAAACTCCTGATGGTGATATAGACAACAATCCCATGTAACATTATCGGCAATAATACAAAATAGCTTGCCACTCTCTTCCCTTCTTCAGAATAATTTTTAACTTTTCTTAGTTTAACCAATAAGCCTGGGATTTTCCTGATGGTCCAGATCCAAAGCTGCTTAGCTTTTGAAAGACCACCTATTGTGAAACTTTGCTGCCCTTCAAAGTTGAAATGCAAGTATATTTCTTTGTCATTCGGACCATGACTCCACTTATCTGAGACAAGAGAAGGATGAACTCCTACCTTGAAGAGTATTCGTCATCAGTCGACTTGTGCGAAGGGGCAAGACCTGGACATGGTCAATGCCAGTTCTCTCAGAGATGCTCACCTCCACTGTGAGGTTTCTCACCAACTGCTGGGGACGGATGCTGATAGCATGCTGATACTTCCCCAAATGTCGCTGGAGCAATTCCTCATAGGTCAGCTCAAAGGCCACCTTTCTTCCTGCTTCCACACTGGTGGACACTCTGAATTTTTCCATTTCTCGATCCCTAGGAAATAGTGAAACGTGTTGTTCAGTATGATGCTGTTTGCCAGCTGGTAGATCAACTCATTCCACACCATCCCTCTGCCTGTGACAAAGATCCCAATCTTCCTGTTCATAGAATTTTCCCTCCGCCCCATCTTAGTGGCTGTCTTTGGAGGAAGGTCTGAGACAAGATGTGGTGACCCAGGGTGGGATACAAAATAAACACAGTCACAAAAACAGGAGACGCCCTTTTTATTCCTTCACTTTGCTTCAAAGCTCCAAATATCCTTTACTAGAAACAAAAAACTCCCCCACAAGCAGATATGAAAAGGAGGAAATGCCGTTTAAACTAAAACTGGCTATAAATTATCAAGAGTAAAAACAACACAAACCACACTGAAGCAATTAAGGGAACCAGGCAAGATAAGGGCTTGAAGACGTCCATAGATACCGGAAAGTACACTGGGAGGGACGCTAAACTCAGCAAGGAACGACAGACTAGAGATATTTCCATGCTTTGTTTCCAGCACTGGCCCATAGGCATGTCTATCCTTTTAACCAGTTCTCACAGCTGCAGCCCATTAAGAGGATCAAGGCCCTTTCCTCCCCCGTAGACCACGTCTCTCCCTTATCCTCTCCTCCCTTCATGCCCTAGGATGGAGAGGGGATGTGCCTGGGTCTTCCTCTGACTTCCCAGCCTCCTCCACAACCTCCGGAGCAACACTTCCACTCCCCGTCGGCTGTTCCTCCTCTCCCTCAGAGTCAGACCCCAACAAGGGCATGACACAAGAAGAGGCCGAATTCTTTGGGAGGCTCTTACTTGGTGCCGATATGAGCTGCTGTCCTTCCTTGCCTGTGGGCTTCCTCATACATCTTCTTAGCTTTGTGCTTTTCCTTCACTTCAGCCACATAGATCTTCTCATTCATGGTTCTAGTACATTGGAACAGAACAAGAAACATCTGCCATCAAATCTCCTTTCCGCTATGGCCCTGAGCACATAGAACATCACAACAAAATATTTTTTTAAAAAAAAGTATAGCTTTTTTTTATTATAACTACAGCCAGGATGCCCACACTGTTGTTGCCTTCTGCCTCTGCTTGCTCTAGTTTCTTAAAAATGCCCCCCCTCTCTGGGCCAGAGACCTGACATCCATTTTTAGTTTCTGGGACCAGCCCTTGGTCTATAGTGCTTTAAAGAGCAAAGAGATGATGCCATTTTAGATTTCAACTTGGAAGAGGAAGCAAAGGCAGGAAGGGTTATTTTGGAAGCGGAGAAAATGAGTTGCACAGCATGTTCCTGGATGTCTTCAAGATTCAACCACAAAGCCCAAATGCATTGTAGCAGCACGTTTTTATAATGATGAAACAAAGGTGGGTGTTCGTACAAAACAGTCACATGGACTGGGATATGCAATAAGAGGGCAGACTTACTGCTGGTATGCTGGTAACTCTTCCCCTCCCCAAATAGCACCCCAACTTTGTGAGTTTAAATGAACTGCTAAGGTAATTTGTTTTTTTCCAGTTTGCAATAAAAATGACACTGAGTTTCCCATATGTTAGGATTAAGGATATGGATTTTTGGATCACAAAATGGTATTTAGCACCTTTTAGTCATCTGGATTTTGTAGCCCAATCCTAAAAGTCTGCAGACTATGTTCTGTACAGAACATTAGTAAAACTGTCCACCAAATGGGCCTTGGCTGAGTCTATTCAACATATGAAGGTGGTTTATTATTTGTTTGTCTAACACAGCATTGCCTTCTTCTGAATGGTAAAAGTTGTCAAGTAATTCAAAGAGTCTTCCCTATCATTTGTTACCAGATAATTTACTTTGACCAGTTACATGTGAAGCCTGCCTTTTTCTGTTTCCAAAGCAGATACTTTTCCAGTGAGCTAATGATTTTGTTATTTCATAGAATGATGACGACAGCATCTCCATTCAAAGAATATATAGGTGTCTTTCCCTGGCCTAGACTCACATGGTAAAGTTGGAGATGAAGGCAGAACGGGGCAGATCCAAATCAAAGATAGCTTCTTTGGCCTCAGGATGTGAGTTGCTCATGGAGATCCAGACTCGTGTGGCGGCATAGCGGGACACAATCGTTGAGCGCACAAAGAAGCTGGAAATTATGAGCTGAGGAGCGAAACCACAAAGATAGTCAGAAAATGGTCCAAAGCATCCATTCAGCCTTCAGCAGGAAACTTAAGAGAACTCTCTAAATCATTTTGAAGGCTACATGGAGAATCACAGAAACAACTCTAAAAATGATTCAAACAAGGAAGGCCCCTCAGCTTCTTTATATGTGGACTCCCAATTCCACTGAATACAGCAGCACCCTGAAACACCAGGTTACCTGTGGAACCACCTTTTCCTAAGGACATCTACCAGTACTACCAGATTAGACAGGAATCACGCTCCTAGTCCATTCCTTTAAACGTTGCTAGGAAGGCTGCCTTTTTTGTAGCCATCTCTGCCCTGTGGAACACTTTGGCCTTTGAGCAGGCCTCTATTTTCCTAGCCTTCCGAAAAGCCCTCAAGACTTGGTTTTAAGTCCAGGAGTTGGGAGAGAGTGAGGCGATTGCATGTTGGAAGCTTAACTTGGTTTTTGTTTTTAATGTTTGTGGTTTGAATAGTTCTAACATGCTTTTATATTGTTTTATTACTGATGTTGTTTTAATTCTTGATTGGAAGACACCCAGAGTTTGGTATAAAATGAGCAACTATATAAATGTTACCCAAAAATAAATGCATGTAGTGTGGATGAAGAAAGCACCTAGAATTGTGGTGAAAATAGACTGATTACTATATAAATTGACTACTGCTGATCAAGTTCACTTTCAAAATTGGATACTCACAGACTGAGCAGTTATGTCTTCACAAACTTGGAGGGAAAGATTACTGTAAGGATTTCCATTTTTCTTTATTCTTTTTTATCCTCTTGAGATATCCACTTAAACAAAGGAACATTCACACACACATGCTCTGCTCCCACAACATGTTTAATTGGGTCAATGGCAGCAATGCTTGTGCATTGTGGGACATACACAGAGTTAAAGTTACCTTGCTTAGTTGTATGAAGGGAATCCGTGTAATCCCAGTCGGTTAAATCATTTTGCCTACCTAAATTCTCCAAGAAAAAGAGCTAGAGAAAGAATTGATGGAAAAAGCAAGTCTCTTTCTTTTAGAACTCACTGCCCAGGCTGTGCCGCATAGAACATAACTTCTAAATCTGAATAGTTGTAGACACCAGGCCGAGCATCCCACTGCCCACCAGCCTGACTAGGGCCGGGGGAAAAAAAGATGGAAGGAAGCCTTGTGTTCTATGGCACAAGACCTGCTGAAATGCTGGGCTCTTCCTGGGGGAATGTATACCTTGTATTCCCAGAATAACCCATTTAGTGTGGTTCTGGATGTTGCCAAAACTGACAAGAAGGTGAAATGACCTGTCTAGTGGTTCATTAATTATGTTGTGGGAACAGCAGGTATGTATACTCTGCATACGCCCTAGGCACGTTCAATTAATTGAGCTCAAGTGAAAAATGTGTATCACTGGTATATACTAATTCTATTCCCCTCACAAAAAGTCCTTATTAATTTGGATTCTACGTAATATCCAGCTGATATCAACCATGCTACCGGTCTACAGTAGATGAGGAAGACTTTGGATCTTGATTGGAATCCCAACCACATCTAGTACCAGTCAAGCTATTTTGTAAATATACTGTATGCTGAGAGACAATATCCCTAGCTTTATTTACTGGGCAGCATGTCTCAATACAGGACCTCAGCAGGACCTCTGAAGGAATATATATAGGATTGCTCTGTAAAGGTCCAACTTTATTCTGTTTATAAGCACAGGCCCTAGATTTTAATGAAACAGCAGTAAAATCCCTCCCACCTATCGGATTAGATTGTGATGAAAAATCATTAATAAAATCAACTGGTAAATCAGCAGATTGCCTACCTCACTTTGGGGAACTTTCACTTGACGTATAAACCTCTGCAGAAGAAAACAAAATAGTTATTTTCTTTCATATAATATGGCTTTGAAATGTTTTAAATGGATAGATATTGCTGAGTGATTTCCAGAGGCCAAAGGTGGTAGTACCGTACATGCCTCTTTTCTCTTTTTAGTTCTCTCTTGATACTTCCTACCAGTGGTGGGATTCAAATTTTTTTACTACCAGTTCTGTGGGCGTGGCTTGGTGGGCATGGATACTGTAAAATCTCCAGCCAGAAGTGGTATTTGCCTGTTCTCCGAATTACTCAAAATTTCCACTACCGGTTCTCCAGAACTAGTCAGAACCTGCTGAATACCACCTCTGCTTCCTACCATACCTAGCGTCCATCCATCCATCCATCCATCCATCCATCCATCCATCCTTCCTTCCTTCCCTCCCTCCCTCTGCCAGTAATAGCCTTTCCCCATCTTTTTTGTTGTTTCTAGGACAGAAAGACACAATTTCAAATTTTTCTGTCCTAAGCTGCCCTAACCATGTTCAGAAGCATCAGCTCATAATTAATTCTCATGATAATGGCTGCAAAAATCCAGATGACTATAGATGGCATCAAAGAATTTGTTGTAGCTCTTTGCTAACATCTACTGGCTATCCAAATTCTTGCAAACGAAGTCTGTTAGTCCTAGTTAAATCCAAACATGGAACAATATGCCTGTTGTTACAAAATAAAAATAAAAAATTTTTTTATAAAGAGAGTAATGGATCTCAGTCAGGCTTCCATGTCTTATGTTTTTCGGTCAGAATATCATTGGCTGCTGTGAAAAACAGAATGCTAGACTGGATATGACTTTGTTTCTGTCTAGCTTTTGATATGCTTTCATGAGAACTTCCAGATAGTGGGCTAGAAATTGGGAAAGCCAAAATTTAATCCCTTCAAAAAGAGAAAAATAAGGCAAGATAAAGAAAAATGTTAGTTCTTACAGTCTGCCAACTTATAGAGCATGATTTTCAGAGATAGTAATGTTATTATATAGAGATAGCTTGTATTTCTCTCACTTAACATTTATTTACAATGAAACTGCAACTGATTTACACAATTCATGTCAACTGGACCATGCTGAAATATATGGAGATTTTGTGATATGGACCTTACAGTCTGGCTACGTATATATGGACTGCAGTAATCCAGTTCCCATTAGATTGCATTCAAGAGATTCAATACCATCTAACTCTCTGCTGCCATTTAGTAGCTATGGCTTTGAGTAGAAAGGCTTTAGTCGAAAAGACAATCATAATTTGATATATCATCATCAAGATGCTTCAGAAAGAAATAATCTATTCAGTGTAAGGGGTCTTCAGGTTCAGGTTTTGTCTATGTGGTCTGTAGATTCTTCTGTGAAAGTAGTTATTATCCTCACGTTAGATTACATTCTGTATTTCTGGCACCATTTCTGTGACAAGCTTACTTGACAAGAGTAGGAATCTGCCCTATGTTGTATCAGCTTGTGCATATTTAATTTAAATTTAATAAATAATAATATGACCAACACAGTGAGGCAGCTGTTGCCCAAGAGTTCAAGAAAGACATTTTAAAATCCTACTGAGAGTTGGGTGGATTTGACATTCATCATACAAGAGAGCAGCATTCTTACTGAGCTATGTCCCTGGCCCTTCTGAGTAATTCTAATATAGAATTGTAAATTTTGCTCTGTAAATTTTGTGTTAATATTTGCTTCTCTCATTTCATTCTTGTTTTGACTGAAATGGGAGTTTGTGTGTGGAACATATGAGATAGAACTGGATGTAAACAGGGATGTGAGGGAATTACAAATATTGAAAGCATTTAGCACCATTAGTTTCCATTAAGGCTCAAATTAGACTTAAAAATGGGGGGGGGGGGACGACTTTTACAAATATAAAAGTCCGGAGAGTTTTCTGGTGATGGGAACGATCTGTTTTTGAAAACTTTCCTATGTATATATGTGGTATGATTGTTCTGTCCTCTTACTTCTTTAAAACATAGGGTCATGCAGAGTATTGTGCCAAAACCATCCTTTGCCTTGAATTATGGGGGGCGGGGGGAAATAAATTGGAAAATCAAAAGTTACCCAGAATCATTTGCTGACACAGGTAGCTATAGAAATCAAATTATAGATGATAGATAGGTAGATAGATGACAGATGATAGAAGACAGACAGATAGATAGACAGACAGACAGACAGACAGATGTGGATAATACATTTCTTCCTTTTCCTAGACTAAGAAATTCAAAAAATTGCCATGGGCTTACATGCTTCCCACTGAGTTATTACACTTGTGTTGTTTTTACTGACTTATGTCAGACAAATCACAGATCAAAATTACGAATTCAGCCATAATTTATTTTCAGGGAAGCAAGTTAGTAAATGATGTGAGATGAAAGAATATTAGTACATGATCTTTTTTTCAACATTATGCTATTCTGTTTCATAATATTCTTTGCTTTTTATAGTTCAAATGGTTTTACATTAGTCCCAAATATTGCTATTCATAGACTGCACCTGCTGTGGGCTTGGGTCCTTTAAACTTTGGATGGCAGAGAGCTGCAGCTGCTATGGACTGGAACCGAACCAAGCCATCACAGCAGTGACTGCTTGGAACTCAGCAAAATTGGGTCTCTCTTTCCTATTAGCAACAATGAAGATCCAGTTTAATAAGGAATGGTCCAAGCAGCCCATAATAGACTGCTTTTATGGCTGGCATTATTCCATTGAAGCTGGTGGTCCACATCTTCAACAGTCCATATCTTACCTAGAATGTAACTTCATATGAAATATTCCTGGGTGGACTAGAGATCTAAAATGAAATGCTTTCTAGCAGGAGAAATAGAACAGGAGTGAAATCATCTCTGAACCTATGGAATGGCTTTGTTAAAAATGGCATGTTTTTGATCCTGTTAAATAAGTCAAGGATTTATTTGCTTCAGCTGGGAGAAAAAAAAAAAAAGTTTTGAAATAATTCAGAATGCTCTACCCAGCAGAATGGAAAGGCTCTTATTATTCCTATATCATGCGTAACTGCCCTCAATCTGATGGGGGGGGGGGCTGTCTGTCTTTCCATTGTGCTCATGAAGCGTTCTCTGTAACTCAAATGTTTCCTCTGTGCTTTAAAGAGACATCCACCTGCTGTTTTCCATTAATGCTTTACTGTAGAATCCTTGGCAAGTTATTGCAGAACACGGCTAGATTTCTCCTTTCTCCAGCTACTCGTTCCCATCGCCTTCTACAAAGTTAGGAGCAAAACTCAGGATTTCAAAGTGGTTGATGAACCATTGAGCATTGCTGCCTCCATTGACCTTATTCCCTCCATTTCCATTTACTAAACATTAAAAAAAAAAAGATAGGGGGGAAATGCTACAAAAACAGCACAGCAACATCAAGGCATTCCTTGGGGCTGACATTTGTCCCTTTGCCTGGACTTACCTCATGGGAAGGTACCTGTATTGGAAGAGGATGTCCCACAATGCTTAAAGGTGCTAGAATCAGAAGGAGAAAGAAGAAAGATCTCCGGAGCTGGTCCATGGCTGGCAGGAAAGTTTGTGGAAGGCACTCCGGATGAGAACGCCTCCTTGGCATCTCGTTCCTTCGTACTTTTGAACCTCAGGTTTCTTCTTGGCTTTTTTTTTAAAGGATCTATAAATGTAGCATTCATCCTGATACAAGCCTTGATTGTCCATGCATCCAAGACTGGAAGGTGGCCAGTTTCGCTTGCTACTTCATAAGATGAAATGAAAACAAAATCTTCTGAAGAGCCTGTGTCTGTCCTGTTTTCCCCATTTGGTGAGGACTTCACAAATCCACAAATATGTTGCATAAATAGGCCCAGATACGCAGGGGACAGGAGAAGGTCATTGCAAAGTTATCAGCATTGGTCCCAAAGTGTACCTGTTCCACAGTCCTTTGACAGGAGCAGCCAAAAATATGCCAAGGACTCATTCGAGAACAGAAAATTCCCTAGTTCAGTATTTATGTGTATGTTTGTTTGTACAAACCAGAAAGGGAGAGAGTTCCTGAGTTGTGGGATCTTAGTGAACTTACCCAGTTCAGCTTCTTTTGGTCCTGGTTTAATCCTCCTACTTTTCAGAATAGACATCTCCCTCACAGTGGTAAAAGAAAAATATTTCTCTTTCTACTGCCCAAACTGTAGGATAAACAAGCACATTGGCTTGAAAGTCTCAAGGACTCAAATCCTGTCCCTGATTTTTTTCCCCTCTAAAAGCTGCTTATTTCTTACAAATGATTCCTTCACTTCTGTCCTGATGCCTCATTAATATTCTTCTGCCAGTGTTTGTAAAATTCTCATTGACTGGCTTTACACATAAAGCTAAGCTATAATGTGCTTGCTTTGTACTGTATTTGGTTTAGACTGTTTATTTATTTATTAAATTTATTGGCTGCCCATCTTACCACAGTATAAGTCTGGGCAGCTTATGAACTTAGCTGCTTTGTAAACTATGATCTGTACTTCTGAATTGTCATTTAGTAAAAAATTTTTTACCTTAACTAGCAAACTCAACTATATGTCAGAAATTAAGTTAGAGTGCTCTCTCTCAATTTCTCTTTTACTCTCACATTCATTTTTCTCCCTCTACACATACTGTATAGGTTGCTAAAAATAGATAATGGTGTTGACTGTGAGGAGGAAAAAAAACCCTATCCTTTTTTTAGATTAACAAAAAATGTACAGAATTGCTGCAAATATTTGAAATACATAATGGATTCTTTTGAAACTAAGAGCAGGCAGATTTATGTTTCCTAAAATGGAGGCTTTGAAATGTTACATTTCTTCCCAGGATTTTTTCAAAAGAACTAATAGCAACCTAACTCTACTCTGTAGACCCACCTGCGTGTTTGATAGTGCTCAGTCACTCCATCTCGTCATGTAAGCTGGTACAGAAATGGTTCCAGTCCAGGCACATCCTCTTGCCTCCATTGTCTAATCAACTTGAAAACAGGTTTGCAGCATTTTTTGTTCAATTCCCTTTGAGTAGGTTTGGAAACCTTGGAAAAAAGCTTTCCCATATAATTGATCTTCGGCATCTTAATTGTTTGAGAAGCAAGCCTTCTTTGGTATTGTGGTCCTCTTTTACTTTTGCAGTTTCCCTCCAAACTGCCAGTTACAAAAGGTCTCCCAGTTGTGTGTTTATGTGCTTTATTGAAAGGGAATTTTTCCAAGAAATATTTTCATACAAGTGGGAAGTTCATTATACAGTATATTTCAATTTCCATATACTTGTCTTGGCCACTTCAAAGCTCCCCCCACCCCCAAGCAATCCTTCCATGTTTGTGCTCCTGCTGGTTGTTTTGCACACATGAATTCTTAAAAAAAGAAAATAAAATAAAAATTCTGAATACTAGATCTCTTACTGAATCCTCCTAGTACATATTCCTGTATTTTCTAACAATTGAAGAAGCTGTTGTCTGCAATGAAAATTTTATAATAGGATTCAAGAACAAAGCTCAAGTAAATAAATGAGTACAGCCATAGCAAGAGATTAGTGATTTTGTCTTCTCGATACTAGAAAGATGATGGATAGTCAGGCTGTAAAAAAAATCTGAGGAGTCAAAGATGCCTATCACTATTTCTTTCATCTTATGATTGTTTGGATTTTGGAAGCTCAGATATGGTAGCCTTAAACTTGGAATCTTCCAGAAAATATGTGATAATTTGGGTACAACTATTCTGTGACCTGACCTGTGCAAGATAATTTCCCGCTGGATTTGGTATCATGTGAATTATGCAGGGTGCCAATTCTTTTCTTTTCCAGCTAAGGATATAAAATTAGCTGACTATTCTATGAATTATACAGCAATTTTAAAAAGTGTTTAATAGGAGAATTTTCATTGCATAAAAAACTTCAAGATCAAAAGCTACACCAGTAATTTCCACTGAATACACCTGAAATCCATGGGGGAATTCAGAAAATTGTGGATCCAGATATTTGGAAGGAAAGGAAAGATTTATTTAGGACTAAAGCTTATTTCATATAATAGTTGACTAAGTTTCTACTCAAATGTCTGCCGTGCTTCCTTTTGAAGTAATTGTGCCAAATCTTAAAACCAGATGAGAGCCACGAACATTCCATCCCAATTGTGCACAAGCAGATTATATAAATGTCATGTATCTTTCAAGTGCATATAATCTAAAGTTTTTATTTGGAAAAAAAAATATTCAGGAAGATGTGACATTTAGCTCAGAAGAAAAGACTTCTCTTTACGCATGTATGCCTGTAAAAAAAATTTTTTTTAAATCAAATCTCTCTATTCTCCAAGGCAAGAAAGAGATTTATTATTGACATAGCAATAGCACTTAGATTTATATACTGCTTCATAGTGCTTTACAGCCCTCTCTAAGCAGTTTACAGAATCAGCATATTGCCCTCAACAATTTGGGTCCTCATTTTACAGGTCTTGGAAGGATGGAAGGCTGAGCCAACCATGAGCTGGTCAGGATCAAACTGCTGACACACTTTAAAAAAAACAACCTCACCAGAATAACTTTGTTGCTCACTTCCAAAAGCAACAATGCAGATGAATGATTGGAAAGAAAAATCCAAGAGCTTTAGTTTTTTAAAATTAAGAATATCTTGGCAAGATGTTGTTGCTCAGACTAAGGGGCAAAGAGTTAGTATAGGGTCTATGGAGAAACTGGGTAACATTCAGAGGGACTGCATCCATATCAATCTTGAAAATACAAATAACTGCACTAAGCTAGCACAGAAGACGTTATAATTTATAGTGTTGCTGCAGATATAAGAAACTAATTGCTGAATGGTAGGAAATATCGCTTGGTCTCTCTCTCTCTCTCTCTCTTTCTCTGTCCTCTTCCTTTCAATTACTTCCTCACTAATGATATTTTGTGTTACAGGAAATGGATCTTCCATAGTCATCTGAAAACAGAGCTTACCGACCTCAGAAGGATGGAAGGCTGAGTCAACCTTGAGCCAGTGAGATTTGAACTGCCAAACTTCTGGCAGCCAGCAGTCAGCAGAAGTAGCCTGCAGTACTGCATTCTAAGCACTGCACCACCATGGCTCTTAAGCAACCAAACATAGATTTATTCCAGTAATCCACTTTCAATACTTGAAGAATACTCGTTCAAATCCTATAGCTACTTTGCCTAGGAAGTGAAAGAAAAATATTAACCAAGAAAATAAGGGTGGGTGGGTTTAAAACTGGGGTGGGATAAGGAATAATACACCTTTGGTGCAACTCAGATCTTCCCTACTGCTTGCTGTCAGAGAATAACCCAACAAACTTGTCCCTGGGTGTAACAATGGAACAGCCCACAATGATACAATTTTGCAGATAAATTCTCTCTTTTTAAAAAAATAAATTTTATTAAGTTTTCAAATTTTAAAAACATAAAATAAATATTTATACATTGTTATCAACATCAAGACATCTTTTACATCTTCCTACATTTTTCAATATATGTAGTTACTTATTCCATTGCCATTACATCTTACTTGTGCTATAAATCAATATCTTTTATCCTTACACATCAATCTTCTCTATAGCATATTTACATATTCCCTCATTCTTTTCCTAATTGCCATTTTATTTTATTTTTATTTCTAAACCACTCATACCAGACATCCCAGGCCCTGTAGTATATTGAATCTTCTCTGTCTTTTAGCTTCATCGTTAGCTTGTCCATCTCTATACAGTCTATTATTTTTTTATAACTATGCCTTCTGGTGGTACCTTTTTTTCTTTCCAGAGTTGTGCATATGAAATCCTTGCAGCTGTTAATATGTGTAGCATGATATGTCTATCTGTTTTACTGCATTTTTGTGTTATTATACCTAATAAAAAAAATTCCAGATTAAGTTCAATTTTCTGATTCGTGATTTCTTCTAGCCATTGTCTAATTGTATTCCAGTATTTTTTCACTTCCTGGCATGTCCACCAGGTATGGAAATAAGTGCCTTTTTCTTTTCCACATTTCCAACACTTTGGGTTCGAATTGAACATTTTTGCCAGTCTAGGGTGGGGAAGGTGCCATCTATAAAAAATTTTGTATTGATTTTCCCTGTATGCTGTATGTGATTTGTTTGTAATTTGATCCCCACATTCTCTCCCAATTTTCCACGTTTATATTATGCCCAACATTTTTCGGCCATACCACCATCATTTCACCTCCTCCTCTTCCATTTTAAAATCTAGTAGAAAATTATATGTTCTTGAAATCATTTTCTTTTCCATTTCTTGTAGGATTTTATCTAATTGATGCTTTTCCATATAGAAACCAAATTGTTCTTTGTCCTTTTTATATCTCGCCTGGATTTGTATGTATGGCCACCAATCTATCTTTATATTTTGTTGCTGTAGTTCTTGTATCGTTTTTAATCTTCTTTGTGTATCTAATAAATCTTTATAATTCCTCTTTTTTCCCAGATCCATTGCATTTGGGTAGATTTGTGTTTCCATGGTTGACAACCAGTATGGTATTTTAATGTAATTATTCTTTTTCATCTTGTTCCATGTCCGAATTAATGAATCTCTAATCATGTGTCTCTGAA